GACAAAGACGGAGCCGATGTTTCAGTGGCCAAGGACGTCGTGATCAGAGCGGAGTTTGAAAAGGAGGAAGAGGTCAGTGAGGTTGCCCAAGTTTCCGGCTTTTTTCATAGTTGCCGATGTATCTCTATCTTCTCTTTTCCGGTTCCTTCCATATTCATGGATTCATACAGTTGTCAGTACCAGATTTGCTTTCTCTCTCTACGATGCTACTAACAGAAAAATCTGAGATTACCAAAAATAGAACTAAAGAAAGGAACAAATCAGATGGCAAAAAAATTGAAATCAAAGGAAGAAATATACGTGATCTCAGATTGGAAACTTCTCAGATTACCAAGAATTGAAAGGAAAAAATAGACATAATTATTAGCCAAAAATTTACAATTGAAGGAAGAAATAAACACATATATGTATATATATATATATATATATATGTATAGATATATTATATAAGTATAGGTTTTCCGTGAAATCAGAGTTGACGGTGAACCTGCATCCAGAAGGATATGTTATTTAACTTATTTATTGTCAGTTCTTCCACGATTTTGTAGCTAATGCCTAAAGAGAAGTCAAAAAATGGATTTTCCCCTCAATATACCAAGGCAGCATAAAAGATTCTTAATTTTTTTTGTCAATCCGGAATCAAGATTGGGGTAGCATATTTTTTTAAGGTTTTAGATCTTTTTACCTAACTGAAGCTCCTTCAAGATAGGGGTGTTTAAAAAATCCGTTAAACCGAAAAATCGGACCGGACCGTACTGAATTGGATAGTTTGGGCTAGTTGTATAGCGATTTGGTCCGGTCCTGAACCTAAAATTATAGAATCGTAATTTTTCGGTCCGATCCTGGTTTAGGGTCGTGCTGGATCAGATCAGTCCGGACCGAACCGTTACTATGTTATATAATATATATATATATTTATATATGTATATCATATCCTAAACCTAAATCAAGTAAAGTTCTCCCGTACCCCTTTCTTTCTTTTGTTCTTTAAATTCCTTAAATTTCTGTTTTAAAAAATCAAATTTCCCTTTTCAAATATATCTCAATTTTCTTTCCTTTATTTCTTCTTAAAATTCTTTTTATTGCGTGTTATATCGATGTTAGTTAATTTTTTATTTTTATATATCATTTTTTTTTTTTTTAACTTTGCCCCCTCTAAATTAAAATAAAATAAAAAGAAAATACTGAAACCGACAAACCAAACCGAACCAGACCGGTTTGTTGCGGTTTGGTTTGGTTTGGTTATATGGACATTATGGTTCGGTCTAGTTTCAAAAATAGTGGAACCGTTATAAATTGTTTGGTTCTAAAATACTTTCAATCCGATTCAAACCGGACCGTATGCACCCCTACTTCAAAATACATCCTCCCAGGTAATAGCTGCTAAAGAAAACAAAAAATACTGCCAAAGCCATACAAGACGTAACAGCGATGATAAAGGGTAAAATGATCATTTTACATAATTTGTATTTAAACTTATTATTTTATTTTACTAAAATGAGGGGATTTTCGTCATTTTAACTTTTCAAGAACTATTTGTACCATATCAATAATATATGGGAGTTTTTTTTCATTATACAGGGATTATTATACACTATATCGATAGTAGTGGGTTTTTTTTTAACACTTTACCCCTTTTTTCCGATACATTAGGGTTCTTCAAATTGTTGAAGTACCATGTGCAGTAGTGTCGATGAACGATGACCCTATAGACTCAATTTCATGGCCTATATCAGAAGCAAAAAAACAACTGGTTCATCAATCAAAGGAAACGCCGGCCACTGAAAACTTATTCCATTCCATTATAGTACATGGATAATGTCCCTTTCCCATTGGAACTTTATGTCAGTCGTCAACATCATCATCCTTACAAGGTGCTCTGTTTTGTGACAACGAAATTCTGAATTCTGATTAATTCAAGTACAAAAAACCCAATACATAACTAGTCTAGATGGTATAAGCCGACTGATATACATGATATACTGCATATGGTTTACAACATGATAGTTGGTCTTACCAAAGGTATAACCTCCCCATCTTCAAAGAAGAGGAGAGGGGTTCGAACCTCGGTTCAAAAAAAAGAAAAAACATGATAATTGGTCTTGGACAAAATACTATCTGCTCTGCGCCGTCATTGAAAGGGTTACAGAAAAAGTTTCTATATTATGAAAGTTCCATAGATATCATCCTTCTAACTCGTCTGTCATGTTTATATTTTTCTTGTGATGTTCCAAGTGAATTGCCGCATCTAAAAAAATTCAAAAAATGCACCTTTGAAATAATATACTGGACTTGCTATGTCCCATATTAACAGTTGGCATTCTAAACATGGACATTTACTAGCCATTCATTGCCCAAATAATATTTTTGTAATTTTAAAATAATAATTATAACTTTTAATTTAATGTTAAATAGTAAGATCAAATTTAACATTTTATTACCTATTTAATGGACAAGTGTAACGACCCAGCTTCAAGTCATTAACGGTTACGGTTATAAATTTGTGTTCTTGTTTATGTGTACAAATTTGTGTTCTTGTTTATGTGTACGACCGATTCAAGGGTAGTATAGTTATTTCCAGGTTCATTATTGGTTCATGAGAAACAATAAAGAGTGATGGAATGGTCAGGGCATGGACTGGGAAAGTATAAAATAAAATAAAAATGGTTGTCAAACCAGCAAACCGGTGGTACAACCCGGTCGTCCGAAAGTGCTCAGGTGGTGCACTCTTGGCACTGTTACATGGTTAAGGTACTTAGCTCCTCTCAATAACTTTGATACCTAAAATAAATGGCCTCAAACCTGTCGCAAAACATAAATGAATACATAATGATGAACCGCAATAATTACATCAATGAGGCGAAATCATGAACATCACCAAAAGACCCATTCTCATTCATTCATATACAAAAATATATCTAGTGATTGAATGAGGTTTAACAAAATAAAAGGGTTACAACACCTTTGCGAAGAGGGTTACAATAATACAAGTTCATGGTCAAAAACTTCACAAAGGCTAACATCATAAAAAGATGGATAAAAAACAAAATACATGTCCACATCTAAACTTGTGGGGACAAATCATCCACAATCTCCTTTCTGTGTCCAAAGGGGTAAGCTCAACAGCCCAGCAGAGATAGCCTAAAGTACACCCCTTGTAATCTCATGAGTCACACCCAAAGAAAGTGAAAGGAAGAAGAGTGATCATGCAAATTTGGGGAAGATAATGGAAGTAAACATGAACTTCACTTTTGTAACTGCAATTGATGCAATGCGATGCAATGCAATGTCCTTCCCCACTTCCAACCCACTCTCACACATACACATTGAAACCATTAATACAACCCGGCAAGAGGCGACTATCCGTCACCACGAAGGAAGATTGGCTAGCTATCCCTGACCTAGGGCAACACCCTAGCATCATTTGGGGCCTGGGTAGCTCAACCGTACACAATGCTATCTCCTTGTGCTCCCTCTAGGCTATATTAACCACATGGGCACAAGGCAACTCTTTGTCGTCCGATTTTTGCGAACTTTTCCTCAAAACTTTGTAAAACAATTTATCACATCCCTTTAGCCCACACACTCACTCACTCAGTGTCATTGATATGCATGCTTTATGCTAACTCATCAATTCAACATATATGGTGAATCATCTTCTAACTAGCATTTTCATGTAGGAATTACACAATGGAAACTATATAGATAATCATTGAAGCAATTTTATCAATCTTTTGGCATGCATCGCAATAAATAAACTAAATCATCTTCTACTTAGCATTGTTTACTCACGTTAAGAACCATCAACACATAACATCACTTTTGTCACTAATCATGAGTTCAATAACTTCAAAGTAAACATATAGGTATGTAGTAAGTACACAATTTATCACATAGATTCACTTGGTCACAAAGTTTCACACTTCCATCAACATTTAACATAGAAATCTACTTCTAAAAACATTCAAAATTAAATATATCACACAGGTTTCATGTTTAGCATACTTTTGCACACAAAGACAATTATAAACACCAACGGGTCAGTGGCACAGCACTATCAAACCCCTACTTCCCAAAGGAAGGTCAGAGGTTTAAACCTCCGTGGAGGCATAGGTGTGTGAGTACCACCAGAAAAAAAAAAATAATAAAAAAAAAAAAATTACAATTATAAACTCGCAAAAATTAGAGAATTTATAACTTAGACTTCCCCACCTCAACGAATATTTAACCAAGCCCTAGCCTCAATTTCAAAATCCCCCAAATGCATGCAACATTGGTATCAAAATGAAGGCCTTGATTTGTAAAACAAACTTTTCTTCTTGGTCCAAGCCTAAATCATACTCTTAAGGACTTCAAATCTATGAATTTGTAAGTGGATACATGTACTTTAGAAAAAGAAAGAAAATATAAAGTGAACGTAACCACTCAGGACATTAATATGAAGAGGAACTTTTGTAAAACTATATTACTCCGTTAGTTCAATTCAAGTATGGGAAATCCAATCTTTAACAAGTCTTGGTCTATGGACATATGGAAATATGTAGCGCAGCAAGTGATGACATCTAATCCTAGTCAGGGTTAGCCTGGTGGCACTCCTAATTATGTAGTGAATGCAAATATAATGATCGCAAAAAACTTGTGTGGATGGATGGCACTGCATACAACAATGCTATATAGCACCGTAGTTGGTCTTGCACTTTGCTGCAGCCAGCCGTGACAGACAACATATATACTATTTGCGTATGGTAATTCAACAAGATCCTATGTACTTTGAGAATTAATAAAATGAACACATTGTATTGCAGACATAAACGAATCAAGTTTCAAACTCGTTCAAAATGAGGATTCTGATGCAGATATAATTTTGATATTCACAATTGCCTTTGAGTCAATGTATTCACTTAAAAAGAAAAAAAGAGAAGCAGTAGACACAAGTCTAATAATATGACAAAATGAGTAAAAAATTTATCTCACCTCTCTTCCTACCCTTTCCTGGTTTCTCAAAATCCATGCTGCTTCTTGAGTTGTTCCTTGTAAATAGCTGCATCTCCTTTACTTTTTCTGCAGGCTAATTCACATTGTTGATTCCCATTATCATCAAGTGGAAAAAGACTCTTTCCAACATCAAGTTGAATTAAACTCTCCACATAAGAATATGCACAGAAGGTCAGATAATTTGCATTGATTCCTAAATCGTTGGCTCTTTGGGTCTCAAAATTATAAGATACCAAATCATTCATGAGGTTCACTTTTAGCTGTTCACCACTCCTTCCCAAGCGTAGCAGCTTACCTACTATGCCCCGTGAGTTAACAGTAAATTGTTTTGTCCAAGAACCCATTTTGCCACAATCCATTGTCCATATTTCACAACCTTCACTCCCTTCAAATCGAAAAAAACCGAACAGTAATTTCCCCCAAACAGGGGTGCAAGGATAACTACATTTAGCATCATCTGGCAGCATTGCCTCCTCAAAAACCTCATCACACAATTCAAAACGCAAAAGTAAAAAATCAAAACCCCCCTCAGTTTTCTTCAATCCAATCCAATATGCTGCTCCATTCACAATTGCAGGTCTCGTACCAGCAAAATAACATGAAGGGGCAACATCAATTCTTCTCCAACAGTCAGTGCTTAGACTATAAACCTCAGTTAGGAACTGATTTCTGTAGGGTAAATATCTCATGCCCCAAACACAAAATCCTCACTACCTTGTTGTCATTAACTCCGGGATGGAACCCAAATGCTAGATAGGTAGTCGAAGAATGATGCAAATTGGAGTCCACAATTAGAGAATTAGGGAGGGTCTTTATAAGTGCTGGGTTCCAAAAGCATATGGCACCTGTGTGATCATTAGACAAGCATATGAGCCCATTACAGGACCCCTGCATCGAAAAGATAGTTCAGATGTGAGGGAAGCTCCGGCTCAAAATACTCTCGAAAAGATTCATCATCGTAACGTATTGAATAACAGTTAGATTCGTAGCTAAGGATGATATAACTACTGTTTTGGCTTGAGGTTTTGAGATGTATTTGAATAAAAGTAGGGTCAGTGATTGGAGAATACCATGATTTGCATACTGACCTCAATCAGAGAAGTGATTTTACAGGCAGTCTAAGGAAGATCTGAATCAAGATTTCATCATGGAGATAGTAAAGATTGGAATTTGATTCTGCTCTGCTACTAGTTGCCATTTTTTTTTTGCCTCGCTTTGCTGCTGCCAACTGGGGGATAATAAGAAACCCTACATTTTGATTTTAAATCTAGAGACAGGAACTTTTATAATCAGACACTTGTGGACTCCTAGCGTTCGTGGGATTCGTTGCTTTGATTGTAAGCTATTTGTAACTTAAATATGTTTTGTAATCTTGTGAAAAAGAAGCAGAGTCCTAGTCCCACACAAAAAGCTATTTTGAATAAGGGTTAAAATTCCAAAAAAAAATAATAATAAAAATAAAAAATAAAAATACCCCATCTCCCAGTAAAATTAAAAAATCTCTTGGACTAACAAAACTTAAGCTATTCCAAATCCGTGACCGAGCCATTAAATGGGTTGTGAAATGTTAAAATTTAATGTTACTATTTAATATTAAATTAAAAGCTATAATTATTATTTTAAATTACAAAAATATTAATTAAAAGCTATTAAATTAAATTTGACTTGCCTAGGAAGTCACAGTAGTGAAAGGTAATGTACTCATGAGTTAAATTTGTAGTATAAGATTTTGTTTATAGAAAAAGATGGGCCAACCATACATCAGCAGCTGATGCAGTATAACAGAAAAGAATCAAGACATTAAAGTTAACTTATGAATAGATTTTATTTTTTATTTTATAACTTACAACTTGTGTACAAATTTTATTTTTTATATATAGTAACATAACTTGTTCTTAAAAGGAAATTGTGTAGGTCAAATGGATGAGAAGTTGAACACCACAACTTTTAATGACAGCATTGACTGGCAACACAGTCCAGGTAGTTTAGGTAGAGACAGCCTTGCCTAAGCTTCCTAAACTACTACAAGCCTGAGCTGTCAGCACTGCCTACATGTCCTGAACTTGCCAAAGCCTGAGTTGCCCACTATACCAAAGTCAGGAGCACAAAAATCGCTTGGGGAGATGAATCATGCAAAATTCTGTCGGTTAGTTATGTTTTAATGCCCTGCTCCTGATATGTTTAAATTACAGGTGAATTTTATTTGAATCAATCGAAAATGCAAGAAATCACTACACAAGCATACAAGCCTATTCTCTGCTACATTGGTCAAGAAATCACTAGACAAACATGCAGACATTCTCTCTTCTACATTGTTGGATTTGATGCTAGTTAAACGTGCTATTTATATAATTAAGATTATCTATGTTATCCTCATTACTCGTATGACCTCAAGGTGGTAAGAATTTCCGCCACACATCAAAATAAAAAAAGACCTTACAAAAAATGCAAAACAACTGAATTAATTCTTTATTTTGGTGAACAAGACTACCAACTAGATGCAGAGGATGAGCTTCTTCATCAATATTAATAGAACTCGCCATTCATGCTCCAAAAGGTATACATGAAGTCAAGTACACCTTCACATTATAGGCGTTGACAGCATATCTAGTTAATATTTGTATTGCATACAAAAAGGTAATATACTAACAGAAAAGGACATTCAGAAATTCGACAGGCATGGATCCAAGATCCTTAGCTTGCTTGTTCTCAAGATTGTAAGACACCAAACAATTTTTGTGATTTAGTCGCAGAATTTCACCGTTCCTTCTAAAGCCTATCTCACTCCAATCATTCACATTCCCTTCTGAAAAACGAAATGTAAATCGTTTTGTCTAAGTTCCCACTTAACTACACTCCATTGTCCACACATCACACTGATAAATTTTAGCCTCCCAAAAATTATAAAGATAGAGTGATTCCCCTAATACCGCAATTTCTGGTAGTCCATGCTGAGTACCGTCTGGCAGCATTATCTCTCTAAAAACTTCATCACCCAAATCGAATTGCAAAAGGGTATAAAGAGAGTTCTCACTTTTCCCATTCCCATCTGCAATCCAATAGGCAGCTCCATTCATGATTTCAGGTTGGGCACCAATACAAATCCTACATGAAGCGAAGGTAACACTAGTAATTCTTCTCCAAGAATCTGTGCTTAGACTATAAACATTTGTTGAAATATCTTTATTATTTTTATTTTTATTAGCTGTTTTTAGCCTTTTATTAGGTGTTTTATATAAGATCCCTATAATCATGGGATCACGTAGATAAGATCCCTGTAATTATATAAGATTCCCATAATCATGGGATCACGTAGATTTTGACATATTTTCAGTCTTTCTTTGATTTGGTTTCCTTTCTTTGTGTCCAATTCTTGTATATAAATATAGCTCTTGGCTCTCGGTTTGAGTAAGCCAAAACCCAAAACTACTTCTTTTTGGTATCAAAGCAAAACAAAATCCTTCGCCTCCCCATTTTCTTACCCAACGCCACCACCTTCTCTCTCCCTCTCTCCATTTTCCCTCATCTCCGGCACACCTCCATCTCATCCCAGCCCTTGCGTCGGACCCCTCGGGTAACCCTCTGTTTTTGACTCCTTTTTTAGGAGAATTCCCTTAGGTTTTATGAGCTAAGTGTTTTTTTTTTTTTTTCTTTTCTTTTCTTTGTGGGCTGCCGGTGTTTGTTCAGCAGCATATTTGGAGAAAAGCACCGATTTTTCCAGCCTTCTTTTTCGCTTTCCTCCCTCTTCGACGTGTGGACCAGCCTTAGTTTGGTACTATGAGTGATTCTAGTAGCAAAATGACACTTTATCTTAGGGTCGTGGCCGCACTGCCGTAATAACCGATACTATTGGTGGGTATACTACTCCACATATTGTTGTCCCTCCTGCTTCAAGTCCTCCCAGACCATCTTTTCAGGACTTCAAATAGTTACACTCCCAGATTGGTCAACTTCAGGAGCAGTTCGAAGTTTTATCTACCAAGGCCGGTTCTTCTACTCCCACAACTACTATAGCTACAGGTACTCCATCTGATTATCATGTTAAAGCGGGAAAACCTACTTGGGTTCTGAATTCCGGAGACAATGATCGCATGACCAGTGAGTTGTCATTATTTTCTACTCCCGTTACCCCTATTAATTAGGCTATTAGTCTAGCAGATAGGTCAACCAACCACCATTATTCGTAGCAAAGGAAATGTTCATATATCCCCTGAATCCCTAATATTATTTTGCTATCTGTTCTTTATGTTCCTAACTTTGCATTTAATCTTCTATCGGTTAGCAAACTTGCCAAATCACTAAATTGTACAGTGATTTTCTTTCCTCATTACTGTCTTTTAAAGGACCTGTGTTCGAAGAGGATTTTTGCCAAGGGATATGAGCACGATGGCCTCTACTACTTTAAGGATCCTCCACCGACACATCCTCCACTTGCTTCAAGCCTTTAAGCCTCTGTTCTTCCAATTTTCAGGTCTTATGATTTTTCTTTTCAGACTTCAAGTTTATGGCATGCTATCCTTGGGAATGTAGACTTTCAGTATTTATGTCTACTTTTCCCTTCATTAATAAGGTTACGGTTAGCCTAGTGACACTCCTAATTATGTTGATGGCACTAAAAACTTGTGTGGATGGCACTACATACTGGGGCGGAGCTAAGGGTGGGCCGGCAGGGGCATGGCCCCCTAAACTTTCTTAAAAGCTTCATTTATACCTCTAAATATTAATTACTTTGTATATATCACTCCTAAAATTTATTAAAAAATTCAATTGGCCCACCCCTTTCTTTTTTTCAAAACACTTGTATATTGACCCAAAATAGAGAATTTGAAAATAAATTTAGTTTGTGTCTCCTGAAAATTTAGTAATTTTTCAACTTGGAATCTTTTAACTATATTTTTAAGGCTCAAATTTAAGAAATTTTACAATTGGTGTATAAAATTTTCTCATTTTAATTACATAGTGCAAACCCGGCCCCCCAACCTCAAATTTCTGGCTCTGCCCCTGACTACATACATCGATGAAGATAGCTAGAGTTGTCTGAAATCCGCTTATACAATTTACAATCTTATGGGTACATGCCAAAATGGTGTCCTTGGACATGGAACTCTAGAAGGTTGAGACTATTTAGACTTGGCAACATCCCAAAGCATATAACACTTCCTTATTTTTATATACCTTTTAAAAAATAAAGCTTAAAATCAGGATATTGCACAACGCTCACTGTCTGCATATGATAATTCAACAACATCATATGTACTTGGAGAATTAACACATTGTATTGCAGACATAAACGAATCAAGTTTCAAATTAATGCTGGCCACTGTAGCAGTGAAAAATATCACCGTACTCTCCATGTAAGAATATGCACAGAAGGTCAGAAAATTTGCATTGATTCCTAGATGCTTGGTCTTAAAATTATAAGATACCAAATCATTCTTGAGGATTAGTTGTAGCAGTTCACAGCTCTTTCTCAAGCCTATTAGCTTCAAAGATATGTCCCGGAAATTAATAAATAGTAGTAAATCGTTTTGTCCAAGAACTCATTTTGCCACACCACACTCCATTGTCCATAACAGGCACTCCCATCCAAATTACAAATTCCGAAAAACTATAGTGATTCCCCCAAAACTGGGTGTATGGATAACAGTATTGAGCAGCATTACCTCCACAAAAACTTAATCACCCATTT